ATAGCAATCCCCAGAGTGTAGGTATCCCTTCCCCCAAGCATGAGCCAAGGCTTCAAGAAAGGTGCAAGTAGGTCTGGATTATTGAGGGCTACCTGCCTAGGGGACCTGATGGAACAATGGGACACATATTGGATATTAGCTAATCACAGACAATACAAACAAAACACATCCACAGTGACATCACAATCCCTCCTCTCTATCCTGGAGATAATTGGGAAGTAATCAAATTATCTCCCAGGACAGAGGCAAGACTCCATTAACCACATGGTTGCAAAAAGACATAAAATTACACAATGTTACAATTACTACATAAAACATATACATGCAACATATCCCAGATAGCTTAGATCTGAGCGCACATTATTACCGAATGGCGCTCAGATCACATACATACAGTTCAATCGCCATGGAGCCAAAGTCTTTTCCATAGTCTTTCATTACACAAATAGGTTCCATGACATAGCTATCTGGGGTAGCACTACTCACATATTGAAAGTCCTGAACGCCCTGGCAGAAATACACAAATAAACCTTTCTGCAGGGTAAAATACAGCTATCAGCACAGGGGCCATAGTCGGAAGGCAGGAGGCTAGCCAGTAGTCCCCTCCAGGCACAAGTGGCGAAAGGCACTTCGTCACAACTACCATTTAGGGTGTTAGTTGCTTGTGCATTCTTGACCCTGAAGTGCATAACTTTGCATTTCTCTACATTAAATTCTCTACTAATAGTGTTAGTGGGGGCCTCATGTTTGAGTTTTGCCTAAGGCCTCGCCAAGTCTATAGCCGCGACTGTTTTGCAGTTTTGGGGTTTTCATACGCAATAACTCTACATCAGGAAATAGTACTACAGAGAATGCACTGTTGTACTATTTCCTGATGTAGAGTTATTGAGTATGAAAACCCCATAACTGCAAAAAAGTGGCGGCTCTAAACTTGGCAATGCCTTATGCGAAACTCAAACATGAGGCCCCCACTAACACTATTAGTGAGAACAATAGCGGTTGACTTGTGTGTGTATAAAAAGCTGTAGATATATTGAAGGGCGGGCTTGCAGCATTGAATGTAGAGACCTAGTCTCTGTATTCATTGTTCAGAGACTTACATTGTTGCGGCTCACTGTGCCGCTGCGTTGTGAGCTCTCTGATTGTAGTTATGGCATAAATTGCAATAAACAAATTTAAATGTGCAATTATGCTAATTGTTTATACACAATTGTGGGGTATGCCGAAGAGATAGCTCTGTGGGCTAATGCATCATCAGTAGAATCTGTTGCAGGTTCAGATCCCGGCAGGGTTGACTCAGCCCTTCATCCTTCCAAGGTAGATAAAATGAGTACCATTAAATTGGGTAATAGTAACAACCCCTTGATGTTGGGCTAAGGTACTTGAAATCCAGAGTAATTTGAATGTACCTTTCCTGGTTAAATACTTTATTATTATTATTAGTTTAGAGTGAGTATAAAGAATAGAACAAACCGAGCAGGAGTTAAACTTTACAGGAATTTTTCATTTACATACATAAAATGAATCAACATAGTAAAGGAGGAGACTATATTTAAAAGAAGAAAAACTACCACAACAAAAGGACATAGTCTTAAATTACAGGGGCAAAGGTTTAATAATAATATCAGGAAGTATTACTTTACTGAGAGGGTAGTGGATGCATGGAATAGCCTTCTAGCTGAAGTGGTAGAGGTTAACACAGTGAGGGAGTTTAAGCATGCGTGGGATAGGCATAAGGCTATCCTAACTATAAGATAAGGCCAGGTACTAATTAAAAGTATTTAGAAATATTGGGCAGACTAGATGGGCAGAATGGTTCTTATCTGTCGTCACATTCTATGTTTCTATGTATGGTTGCATAGCCTGGCAGTTGTGTATACATAAGTGCTGGTGTGAAGGGGTTATTGGAAACAGAAATTTTTATTTTGGTTGGGCTTTAAAAGAAAAAAAAATCAGTCACACTGTGTATTTATCTGGCTGTGTGTATTCCCGAGTGTGTCTTGCAGTGGGGCCCCGGTGTGGGCTGGGGCCGCAACACATGGCTGCGGGCACCTGGTCGCAGGGGTCGCAGGGCTGAGACCGCGGTATGTATGCCAGTGCATGCAGATACACATACACTTAAAGGACCACTACAGACACCCAGATCACATCAGCTCAATGAAGTGATCTGGGTGCCAGGTTCCTCTAGTTTTAACCCTGCAGCTGAAAACATAGCAGGGTTAATGAGGGTTAATCCAGCCTCTAGTGGCTGTCTCATTGACAGCCGCTAGAGGAGCTTCCGCGATTCTCACTGTGAAAATCACAGCGAGAAGACGCTGAACGTCCATAGGAAAACATTGAGTAATGCTTTCATATGGACGGTTTGAATGAGCGTGCAGCTCTTGCCACGCATGCGCATTCAGAACTGAGAGGTGGATCGGGGCGGAGAGATCCCCAGCGCCAAGGGAGTCCGGCGCTGGAGAAAGGTAAGTGCTTAAGACACACACACTCTCACGAACAGACGCATACACACTAGCTAACAGACACACACATTTACTGAGACACACACTCAGTGACAGACATACATCTCAATTATGTGTCTGTTAGTCCACCCATTGTACAGCGCTGCGGAATTTGTTGGCGCTATATAAATAATAAAATAATAATAATAATACATACACACTCACTGACAGACAGACACATACACACTCACTTACAAAACACACTAACAGACACACACAGTAACACACTCACTGACAGACTAACACACACACACACAAACACACACACACTCTAACACTAACACACACACACTCTAACACTAACACACACACACTCTAACACTAACACACACACACTCTAACAGTAACACACACACTCTAACACTAACACACACACATACACACACACACACAAACACTCTAACACTAACACACACACACTCTAACACTAACACACACACTCTACATCAGGAAATACTAGTACAGAGAAGGCACTGTTGTACTATTTCCTGATGTAGAGTTATTGAGTATGAAAACCCCATAACTGCAAAACAGTGGCGGCTCTAAACTTGACGATGCCTTATGCGAAACTCAAACATGAGACTAACACACACTCTAACACTAACACACACACTCTAACACTAACACACACTCTAACACACACACAGACTCTAACACTAACACACACACTAACACTAACACACACACTCTAACACACACACACTAACACACGTTATTTAAAAAAAAAAATTAATCCCCCCAGCCTCCTTACCTTTGGGAGTGCTGAGGGGATTCCCTGGGGTCCAGTGGTGTCACCGGGCGGGCGGGCAGGCTAGCGGGCGCGCGAGGGAGCACTCTCCCTTGCTGAGTGCTTCCTGTTCAGCTCTCTCGCACGTCGCATACTGATACTGGAGCCGGACCCCTGCGACCCCGGTATGTACGCCACTGGTGTCTTGCATTGTCTACCTGTGTGCGTGTGCCTGAGAGTGTGTGTCTGACAGTATCCTTGCATCTGTATGTATGTTTCTCTGAGCATGTGTATATTTCTGTACTGCCTGTGGCCTTTTGCAAAGCTATGTTTTATGGCAGTGTGTACAATGATTGCCTTTGGGGGGGACAGGGTGAGTAAAGGGGTAACTGTGGCATAGTGAGTGTAAAAGATCAAGGGGGTAAATAAGACAGGGTTGGGGAGTGAGTGTGACAGACTGAGGGAGGGTGAGTGTGACATGGTTTGAAGAGAGAGTGTGAGAGGAGGTATGTATGACAGTATTAAGGGGTTAATGTGATAAGGTGAATGTAGCATGCTTGGGGCGTGAGTATCACAGGGTTAGGGTGAATGTGGCATGGTTGGAGGAGTGAGTGTGACAGGGCAAGGGGAGGTGAGTGTGACAGGATTAGGGGGATTCATGTTATAGGGTAAGTGCTGCATGATTGGAGAAGGTGAGTGTGACTGAATCAAGAGGAGTTAATATAAGTGTGGGAGGGTGGCAGTGTCTGGGAGTGTCAGTTTGTGTTAGGGGTACCAGAGTGTATGGAGGGGGTGCCAGAATTTGGAGGGGGTGACAATGTGTATGGAGGGGGGTGTAGAGGGGGGTGACAGAGTGAGAGAGGAGTGACATAGTGTGAGAGGGAAGTGACAGAGTGAGAGGGAGGTTGACATTGTGTAGGTGGGTGACAGAGTGAGAGGGGGTGACATGGTGTGAGAGGGAGGATGACATAGTGTGAGGGGGTGACGTAGTGAGGGGGGTGACAGAGTGAGTGGGAGGGTGACATAGTGAAGGGGGAGATAGAGTGTGAGAGAGGGTGACACTATGTCACCCCTCTCTATTCTGTCACCCCCCTCTTATTCTGTCACCCCCCTCTCAACCACTCTTACTCTGTCATCTTCTCTCTCACACTGTCACCCCTCTCATAGTAGGGGAGACAGAGTGAGAGGGGAGATGACAGAGTAAGAGGAGGTGAGAGGGGGTGACAGAGGTAGAGGGGGTGAGAGAATAAGAGGGGGGTGACAGGGTGGGTAACAGAGTAAGAGGGGGTGACATAGTGTGGGGGATGACATAGTTTGGGGGGTGACAGGGTACGAGGGGGTGACATAGTGTGTGGGATGGGGACAGGGTGAGAGAGGGGTGACATAGTGCGAGGGGGTGAGAGGGGGTGACATAGTGTGTGGGATGGTGACAGGGTGAGGGTGAGAGTGACAGGGTGAGAGAGGGGTGCCATAGTGTGATAGGAGGGTGACATAATGTGGGGGGTGACAGGGTGAGAGGGGGGTGACATAGTGTGTGGGATGGTGACAGGGTGAGAGAGGGGTGACATAGTGTGAGGGGGTGACAGGGTGAGAGGGGGTTGACAGGGGGTGACATAGTGTGTGGGGGTGCAAGGCCGTCGCTAGCGGGCAGGCAAACCAAGCAACTGCTTGGGGCCCCAAGCAGAGCCGGTGCTTCCTATAAGGCTGCAGCCACCTGAGCGCTCTGTAAAGAGCCTCAGGCGGCTGCAGCACTCATCTCTCGTCACCTCCCCTTCCCTGTAGCGTGGCCGAGCTCCTCTTCCTCCTGGCTGTCAGTCCGGCCAGGTACCGCCCGATACAGGAGATTCAGTTTCCTGTTCCCGGCCGGACTGACAGAAAGTACACACTGAGTGCTCACTTCCTTTCAGTCTGGCCGAAAACAGGAAACTGAATCTCCTGTACCGCGCGGACTGACAGCCAGGAGGAAGAGGAGCTCGGCCATGCTACAGGGAAGGGGAGGTAACTGAGAAGAACATAGGGGGGGTGTAGTAAAAAAAACATAGGGAGGGAGGGGGGTAGTAAAAGAAGCATTGGGGGTAGTAAAAGAGACATGAAAGTGAGTAAAACATAGAGGGAGAGGTACGGGAAAACATAGAGAGGTAAAAAGCATAGGGAGGGAGGAGTAAAACATATGAGGGAGGAGGGAGGAGTAAAAAACATAGGGAAGTAAAAATAACATAGGAGAGGAGGAAGTAAAAAAAACATACTTTGGGAGTAAAAGAACATAGGGAGGGAGGTAAGAGAAGGAAGGACACAGGGAGGCGGGAGGGAGTAAAAGACACAGGGAGAGAGGATAGGAAGTAAAAAAGGACAGGGGAGTAAGAAAGAACATAAGAGGAATGGGGGCACAGGAAGGGTGGGAGGGGTAAAAGAAAGAACATATGGAGAGGTAGTAAGAGGAACATAGAGAGAGGAAGTAGTAAGAGAACATAGAGAGAGGTAAGAAGAATTTATAGGGTCAGTAAGAAAGAACATAGGGGGGGGAGGAAGGAAGTAAGAGAAAGATGGGAGGAAGTAAGAGAAAAGAACACTAGGAGGAGGGAGTAAGAAGAACATAGGGAGGAAGTAGTAAGAAGAACATAGAGAGGAGTAAGAAAGAACATGGGGCATTAAGAACATATTAGGGAGGGAAGGGAGTAGAATTAGGAACACAGGAGGGAGGAGTAAGAAGGAGCACAGGGGTGGGGGATTTAGGAGATGAGGAGGAGACATGGGGGGGAGGTGAGGGAGAAGTGGAGATGAGAACCTGAGTGAGGAGAGACACAGGAGGGTGAGGAGGAGATAGCAGAGGGAACATGGGGGTGAGACTGGTAGGGGGAGAGGAAAGACGACTAAGGGACAGGGCAGAGCTCTAAGGGACGGAAGAGAGAGCTCTATCGGACAGGGGGCAGGACAGGACAGGGAGCTCTTTCACACTACGTTCACAGCAGTTTTAGATAATTTGCACGTTTGTGAGAACTGAAAATTGTTAATGTGAGTGTTTATGTTTGTGTGTGTGTTTTAAGTATGTTGGATTTAGTTATTGTGCACTTTTTTATGTATATTTGATTTTTGGGGGGGGGCCTGGGGGGCCTCCAGGTCCATTTTGCTTGGGGCCCCCAAATTCCTTCAAACGGCCCTGAGGGGGTGGCAGGGTGAGAGGGGGGTGACATAGTGTGTGGGATGGTGACAGGGTGAGGGGGGGCGATAGAGTTAGAGGGGGTGACAGGATGAGGGAGGATTGAAATTTACCTGAGATGCAGACCACATGGTAAATGTCTTGCGATCTCCATTCAGAGCTTAGCCGTGGTAACCCGCAGCAACGGTCTAATTGGCTGGAGATCACGAGACACTTCAGTTTGCAGTTCTACAGACAGGAGGCTGACAGGGCAGACCAAGTGAACGGGCCTCGCAGCCAGCGGCACACAGGGCAAGTAGCCGGGCCCCTTCCTGGGTCAGGCCCTCGGTCATAGACCGAGAACATGACAGTTCAGTCTGCCCTAGTGCGATTTAGGCGTCCGCGAGGCCCCAGATAGCGCGAGGCCTTAGGCGGCCGCCTAAATCACCTACTTAGAGAGCTGCCTCTGCTGCAAACCTTTGTTATGCAGCATTAGTCCCAAACTTCACCCTCCATCCTTGTCATCACTCTGTTTCTCCACAAACCAACAGGTACATTTTCATCTATTTGGATTTAAAATTCCACAAGAAAAATCTCTCCTGTTACCAAACCCTATAAAATATTGTACCATTTATCAGTAATTTATTTCTGAATTGTGAACATCAAAACCACCATTCAGCCCACCAATACCTAATGAAACATCCACTTGATATTCTGGAACATTTCTGGAGATTAACATGTTGTTGGTTATAGAAAGGCTACACATCCAAATAACGCCCTGCCCCAATACCCTACTATGTCCAGCTAGTCTTAAGGTAGTGTATTTCTTCTTCTTGTCTTTTAAAATTAGTGTGCAACCTTGAGTAAATTGTCCACAACTTCTTAAATAGTTTCTTTCAGTCCTGATTGGCAGTCTTCAAATGGGTTCTGAGCCCCATGTACTTTATTGTTGACAGATTACAAATTAATCTTAACCATCAATCAAGTTACACAGCAAGCCAAGAAAGCTAATATTATGATTGGAATTTGTATAGTGCCAACAAGTTCAGCAGTGCTTCTCAATATTTTTAAGAGGATTTAACAACCAGAAACCTTTACAGATTTTGACAGGTACAATAGGTTGATGAGTATCCTGCTTGAGCTTACAATGAGCTTACAATCTAGAGAAGGTGAGGTATGACAACACAACAGGAAGGGCATGGTGAAGGATAGGAACCAAGTGACAGGGTGGAAATGTAGCAGAATTAATTAGAGCAAAGTGGGGAATGGACCCACCAATTGAGTTGAGTAGGTATTGGCATTTACCCTTAGAATCCATAGGCTATTCTGGCAATGTAGGCATTTTAGGGACTTTTTAAAAGGATTGAAGAGTAGGGGGAGAGCTTAGAATTTTAAGTAGAACTAGGAAACAAAGGCCATGATGTTAAAAAAAAAAAAAAAACTTTTATTTTCTGCCCCTGTTGGGGTCTTTCACAAAACCAAGAATTTTCATGAATTCATCTGGGAATTTCAAACATTTGGCCAAAGTAGCTTCAAAATAGTTACAATTGTCCAAGTGGTTCCAACTCAGTGTTTTTTTCCTTGAATGTGCGATTCCCTTTACTTTTTAGTTTAGTGACTAGCCATATGTAAGTTACAAATCAATGATTGTGTCTGCGGATGTACCTGGCATTCTCCATATGATACTTGAGTGCTTTTGGAGTACAATTTAAGAAGCATTAAGCTGACCTATGGTTTTGTGTGTAGTAACTGTATTACATGTTTATACTTTACATTTCTATGTTTATTTCAGTATTGTTTTTCTAGTTTCTGATACCATTTTCTGAATTGTACATAGTACACTTACACCGTTATATTTTGGCAGAAATTGAAAGGTTCTGTTGATATGGGGAGATGTATAATACAATATTTTCTACATGCACGTTTTCCCCTATTTTGTAAACAAAAAGTGTAAAGTTACATTTGTTCCACTTTTTATTTTCTAGTGAGACAGTGCTGTTCTAAAAGTAAAAATGTGCATAGTTCTATAAATGAAGCAATCACCATGGAAACCAGTGAAACCAGCAGGCTTGTTCCATTGGGTCTATTTTTCTTCACTTTTTAGAACTCTTTATTAAATCTTGCTCATGGTGTGTATGTGCCAAAAATAAAATATATATTGAAACACGGAGAACTTAAGGTTTAAAAAAAAAAGTGGTTTATAGAAATCCAAAACTAGGACTGAAGCCTCAAACATACATTAAACCAAGCAATAAAGTAAAAAGCTTTAAAAATGTGGTCCAGGGGGGCAGGGCGTAACAGTTGAGCTGACAGGACACATCTCACTCAAGCTCTGATAATATCAGCAAACAAACGCTAAAATCCAGAGCAAATTTCAGCCTTAAGTCCCAGAAATCACCCGTAGGTGATCTACTTACCATCAGCCACCAGCCAATGCCATTCTTATTCAGCCAAAAGGGCAGAAAAGTGCGCCACAAAACCAGGGCCTACTTGGGCCTTCCTCCCAGGAGCCCTGTTCCAGAGTGCTGTGTGGCCTCCAGACACGTCAGATACTTACATCCCGCATGAATACCACCAGGTCAGTGATCCCACTGCAATGGGTCGCAGAACACAGCGCACACAGGCAAACATGAACCGAAACACTCAAGACATCGGCACCATGCTGCAGTGCCCTGCGGCCCCAAAAATAGCCGCCGGGTCAGACCATGAGGCAGGGTCCACATGCTCGAACACCCACATGGAACAACCCTTGGCTCCTCAGGAGTCTGCATCAGTGCTTCTAACAGCCACATAGATAAAATCCCTGGATACAAAACAAGACATCCAAAACCTTCTACAAAACATGCAGCAGATGTTTCAGGCTGACAATACAGTCAAAACAGAGATACAAGCTGTGACAGCCCGTGTACAAGCAGCAGAAGAAGACATTATAGACACCCAATGCAAAGTATCTAGCCTCAAGGGCATACTGCCAGGTCCAATCATCACAGGCTACTATGACATCACAAGTCGACAACTGGATGACTGATGCTGGAGAGCTAACCTCAAACTACGTGGTATCCCCAACACAGTTGACTCAGCTGAGCTACTGCATTACTTGCGATGCCCCTTTACTGAGCTACTGCCGCCTGCCCAAGCTAGGAAAATTGGGATTGACAGTTTTTTCTGGATCAACAATTCCTCACGGGCCACCACCTTGGCCACTTGGGACTTGATTGTCAGATGCCAATCCCCGGCGGACAGGTCCAGCATCATGGCAGCAGTCCGGGGAAAAATTCTAGACTGCTCAGCTCACATTCTATCAGGATTTATCAAGAAAAGTGCAGGAGTTCCCTAAAGGTGGTCAAATCCGAGATCCCTTACGGTACTGAAGTATGGCTCCATTGTGGGACTATCTTCTATGTCTGAAGCTGCCACCTTTCTCCAGGCCCTGGGTCTCCCCATCATCGACTGCTGCACACATCTGGAACCCTAGAGAACAACACCTTTCATCCCAAGAAGTGAACGAGGATCGACTATGGTTACCTTAACCCTGATACCACTCCAAGCACTTTGCTATTTCTTAACTGTTAACTTCTATATTTGTTGGCTAATGGTTATTTTGGCTTTTATTTTGTTTGCTGATTGAGAGCGAAAAAAAACAAACAAAAAAAACAGCTCAACTATTGACCACGAGTGGGCTATAGGCCCTCACAGACACATTCCTCCCCCCCCCCCCTCAGAATCCCCATGGTTAGGGGTCAACATAACTACATAAATTGCGCACTTCCCGCTGATGGGCACAGCAGGCTGTAATCAGCACTCTTGATAACTCAAGTCTATATTAGACAGATATTGATGACAGAAATTAGACACTAATGTTAATATCAATGACACTTATTCTTAGTAGGTATGAACACACTTTTTCCTACAACAATATTTTATACCTTGTATTCTCATGGCTTGTACTGAATATACCCAATAGTTTTTACATCATTTTAATTGATGTGCACTTTAATAACTCCCCATTCTTATTTCTTCCGATATATACATGAGAACAATTCTGGGGGGCGACGTGGAACAAAATCATATGGACAATAAAGTTTCTTTTAGGAGTGGGACGCATATGCATTCCAAACACGGACTAAACCGTAAGTACATCATCAAGGTGAAGCCATGTATAGCGACGTCATTTGGAAGAGGCGGAAACTACTCGCAACAGACCCAGGTGACTCCAATGGACAATCAGGAAGGCGCTATATAAGACTACTGATCACCGGGGAACAACATTAGCAACTGAGGAAGTCTACAATATAGGCGAAAGGCGTCTTGCTACCCATAGTGGACTTTATTTGGCTACCCAAGTGGACTTTATTGTAAGAGATCTTTATTTGTATTTATTTTTAATTTTCATTTCATTAAAAGATTATGTTTTAACCTCCACACTACCTGAGTGGATCGTTTGAAGCAGATAGAGGACGCAACAACAGTCATCACACTTGTAGGGAGTGGGATCCCTCACAACTATCCCACAGGCATTAATATTGAGCCATATTCATCTGGCTCCAGGGGCGTACCTAGAGCATTTGGCACCCGGGGCGGATCCTGTGCTTGGCACCCCTCCCTCCCCCCTCCAAAAAAAAAACCTGTAAAAAATGTTAAAGGTTTTATTTATTTTATTTTTACAATTTGTAAACTTTGCAAAACCGCTGTCAGCCCCTCCTACAAAACCCTTGTCCTGCCCTGCCCCATCTACAAAACCTCTGTCCTGCCCCTTCTACAAATCCTGTACTGCCCCATCTACAAAACCCCCGCAACCCCCTTCCACAAATCCCCTGCTTATAACCCCTTATAAAGACTCCTGTCCCAATACAAAACCCCCACCCCTTCTACAAAATCCCTGCAGCCCCACACACACATTTACAGGCAGACAGTCACACACTCAGTTACAGACACAGTCACACACTCAGTTACAGACAGACAGTCACACACTCAGTTACAGGCAGACAGTCACACACAGTCACAGGCAGACAGTCACACATACACATTTCCTCTGTGCGGCCAGTTTATCAGCTGTTTGCTTGTGTGAGCTGTACGGCACCCTAACTACCATGGGACACTATGCGGCCACAGCTCACACAGCCCCCTCCAGCCAGGGCCGGTACAAGGATTTTTGCCGCCCAAGGCAAAAGTAAAGTTTGCCGCCCCCCATGTGACATCACAATGCCCCAGCCATATGATTTGCCATGTTAACTAACGCCAGTGCTGCAGTGCCGCCGTGTTTACATTAAAAGGCCTGCAGGGACGGGCTATAGACACCAGAACCACTACATTAAGCTGAAGTGGTTCTGGGGACTATAGTGTTTCTTTAATGTGAGGTAAATTAGAGCTTAGTGCCACGAATAATATACTAGATTGCCTACTTACAACCAGATGAGGATGATGATGGGCTCTAGCTGCCGTCTGGCTCCACTGGTCTGGTGTACAATAGGCTCTCTGGAGGCGGTTTTGTAACTGTGGTCACAAAAATCACTGTTCTGGGAGAACAGGAAGCGGCTCACATTTTTGGGGTGCGCGCACAGCTCAAGGTCTGGGTCCCCGGTCCCACCTTCATGTTCCTGTGGGATTTTATTCACAGGGGGTGGAGTGTGTAGGGATGTCTGATATGTGTGGAATACATTGTGTGAAATTGTGTTGCTGTGTAAGGACTGCAAGGTGTGTTTCTGTGTATGTATGGGATGCATTGAATGTGTGTAAGGGGTGCATTGAGTGTGTGTAATGAATGCATTGTGTTTTTCTGTGTGTGTAAGGGATGCATTGTGTGTAACGGTTGCATTGCTTGTGTATGTGTGTCTGTGTGTTTTTCTGTGTGCAAGGGGTGATTTGTGTGTATGTGATGAATGTCAATCTCACCCCCCCCCCTTATTTCTCTTTCTCACCCCCCCCTTATTTCTCTCTCACCCCCCCTTATTTCTCTTTCTCACCCCCCCTTATTTCTTTTCCTCACCCCTCTCTCACCCCCCTTATTTCTCTTTCTCAC